CCCTTTGAAACTGAGATTGAGAAATTTCAAATTAAAAGATGTTAAATATTAAGACAAAAAAAAAAAAAAAGAGTACTAAAACTCTTTAGTAAACAGACCAGCAAGACTTCTTGGCAAACACCCAAATGTTTCTAAGACTCAAGGATAAAATTTGGTGCAACTGGCCAAAGTATTTTGCATGTCACTGTTAAGTTGCCTGGGTGCCAGGAGACTAGCAGACCATCAAAATTTTCTACCCATGTGAGAAGACCATGATAACCATGGACAATAAGAGATGCTCAATGATATTTAATAAAATCACTTAGTGGGTACCTGGGTGGCTCAGTGAGTTAAGTGTCTGACCTCAGCTCAGGTCATGATCTCACAGTTTGTGAGTTCAAGCCCCACGTCAGGCTCTGTGTTGACAGATCAGAGCCTGGAGCCTGCTTCGAATTCTGTGACTCCCTCTCTCTCTGTCCCTCCCTGGCTCATGTGCTCGATCTCTCTCTCTCAAAGATAAATAAATAAATATTAATAAAAATAAAATCACTGAGGATTCAATACAACTTAATAAGGATCTCTTCATTAGTTGCTTGTAGGAGATTAACAATGTACTTCTAAAAGTGTAAATTCACACTTAAGTATTAAGAACTTTATGTGAAAAATACTGTTCTTGATACAAAAGCACTACAGTAAACAAAACCAAGTCTCTCATTTTATGGAATTTCCATTCTAATGGAGGCAAATTATAGCTCATTTATACATAACTAATCTATACTACAAAACTGGAGTGCTGAATCAAGCAATGTGTAGACACTCAAAGTAAACAGCAGATGTACTTCCTACCATTGAGGTGCATCCCGGCAGAATGCATAACAGAGGATTATGGACTACAGCAATAACTAGAATAACTATAGAAGCAAAAGTAAGAATGTATGATTGTGAGAAAAAACAAATGTGTCTTCCAATCTCTTGGTAAAAAGGTTAAAGAGTATACATTTCTGGAGGGGTGCCTGGGTGGCTCAGTTGGTTAAGCACCCAGCTTTGGCTCTGGTCATGGTCTCATGGGTTCATGAGGTCAAGCCCCACACTGGGCTCTGTGCTGACAGCTCAGAGCTTGTAGCCTGGGGCCTGCTTTGGATTTTATCTCCCTCTCTCTCCTCCCTTCCCCACTCATGCTCAATCTCTCTCTCAAAAATAGATAAAAATTAATAAATTTTTAAAAGAGTATAAATATTTATGTGGATAAGGGTAATTTTTAAAAATTGCTTTCAAAACTATCAAAAGTATGACATTTAAGTTAGAAGAAAATTATAGAAAACTGTGTATCAAACATAAAGAATTTTCTTAGTGAGGAGATGCTGCGGATAAAAATAAAATTGATAACATGGTTTCCGGAGGGCTTCCTACTGAAAACAGCAGCAAATATGGTTGTTAATCTTGCAATAATTTAGCAATATTAATAAAATGTTCTTGAGGAACAGTAAAATATCCAAGTGTTCTGATTTTATTTATATTTCCTGGAGAGTGCCATAATAAATAAATGAGAATAAGCTATAGAGAACTTTACAGGTCAGCATGAATGAACAATAAAGTAGTAGGTGGTTTTAATTTAGGGATAGATTAAAGTTATACCTTAAGGACAAGTAATTTCACCTTCAAAATATGATGGTGTTTGAACATCATTTGTAACTCAGGAAAAGATTACCAATTTGGTGCCTAACGACGTTATTTCTTGTTGTGTACAATTGAAACACCATAGTAATTACAGATTATCATATTTCAAGAAAGACATAGAATAACCAGAAAATAACTAGAGAAAGGCAAGTCCAGTGACCACTGGAATTACGGGGTTTCAAATGAATTTGGCCATGAGATTTGGATAATTTGAAACAGGTACAAAAATGGAAAAAAGACATAATCCAAGTCTTTAAAATATTGATGATTGTGGATAATGTAAACAAGTTAACTTACCAAATTATAGGCAGTTTGATCACTTGGAAAAGAGATCATTTCATGATCAATATGAACAAGTAATTATTTCTACTTCCTATTGTGAATTACCCAGCATGGATGGGAATGCAGTGATTTAGACTGGACTGCTTAAAAATAATTTAAGGTTTATCTTTAAGAGTTTTAAAACATGAATAAATTGTATTTAATATTTAAATACACAACACATAGCCCAGGAAGTGACAAATAATAAGTGTTCAAAAGAGTGGAAAGATAACGGATGCGTATAAGGGAAGAGAAGGAAAGCTAAGATAAAACCATAAAGGAAGGCATACCATAAGGAACTCAAATACAGAAAACAAACTGATGGTTGATGGGGGTGGGGGCTGGGCTAAATTGGTGATGGACATTAAGGAGGGAACTTTTTGGGATGAGTACTGGGTGTTATATGTAAGTGATGACAAAAGGGTTCTACTCCTGAAGCCAATACTACACTGTATGCTAACAAACTTCAGACTAAAATAAAAATAAAAACTATTTTGTTTAAAAAAATTCACAGCAAGAGTAAGAGTGGAGTTGGGGGGAAATGTAGGGAGAAAGAAAGGAAGCAAAAAGAAAAGAAAGAGAGTGCAGGAGCACATGCAGGCACAAATCAGAACCGTATGGATAAACTGATCTTGTCTTAACTTTGGCTACCCTTTAGAATTATATAAAAAAAGAATTTCAAACTCTATGAGCAATGCCAACTTCTGAAACAAGGAGGTGAGATATAGATCCTAGAAATAAATAAGAAGTAACAGCCTTGTGAACCAGACTGAAACTGCTACTCTCCTTGGGTATTCATCTAGCTAATGATTCTCTGTCCAGAATATTCTGAGATGAATAAAAGTAGAGGAAAGCAAAATAGTGCCAAACTCCTTAATAGGAAACAATTTGGCAGGTGATAGAGAGAGAGAGCCCAACTAACACGGAAACATGCAAAGCATCTCTAAGATGCCTGCTGATTTCTGGTTAGGCATCAGAGCCAAGAAGTTGAAAGGAAGCTTGCATTTACGGCTGGTGAAGAGTACAGAGAAAGCCTTTACTAAAGTGTGAGTTGGCTTTCCCCCAAACATTACATTACCCTTGAATGGAAAATTGATCGGATGACATATGGTGATAACATCTGCCACCCATGGATAAAGCCCTAGTGCCATGTGGGTGGTAATGGAAGCTGTAATAGTGAGGGTGGAGAATTTAATGACAGTATGTAACACTGAGGAAAGTAACAGCAATCTGAAAGAAAGGAACAATTTGTGTAAATCTTTACGATGGGCACTTCAGGACCATGCATCCTGTTCTGTAGTCATCTCAGAGGGAATGATAGAAATGAAAGGTGCTTTATCATTTTATTACCTCCAAGTCAATCTCAGCCCCAACCCCCAGGGAGGCATTCTCCTTTAGCGTCATGCATAGGCACTTTTTCCTTATCAGTGAATAGATATTTATTATGAATCTGAGATGATCATAGCAAGAAATCATAGCAAGTCAGGGCTATTTATATTAAAGTTAAAAGTGAGGGCAAACACATTACTTTCTAGAATTTCTAAAAATTATTATTTACGTATGAATTTCCAGCAAGTAAATGAAAACTAGCAAAATATAATGTTTTATAAGTGAAATATTGAAGTCCATTTGTTTCGTCCTATGCATACGGGGAGAAAATAAATGGTATCCTCAGTTGCACACTGCAAACAGAAAGGTTTTATTTGCAAAACAGCAAAAACAACAAGGGAAATCTTGCCATGGTTATACAATAATGTGAAGTTTGGCCAAAATTGCCTATGAAATTCAAAATTTTGAAATGGCAGTGGGCATCCTGACAGACAGCAGCAGTAAAAATTTGTCAAGTGTATCTTTCTTTTTTTTCCTCAAAATGTCCTTCAAATTGAGAATCCTAATACAATTTTTAAAGTGTTCTTGATTGGTTCAAAGGTAGTTCTCAGTTTCCATAAATTTCAAAGACTAACTTTTGGTTCTCCTCTCTCTTAAAGTCAAAGAAAGCAGTGGCTGATCTATTCTGACAGGCAGTAGACCCTAAACTTACTTCTTAAAGCAATCGAGGGAAGGTAATTGGCCATGGCCAATTTTTTCATTAAGTTTAATTTTTGTTTAAGTTTATTTAACTGGGGGCGGGGGGCAGAGAGAGAGGGAGGAAGAGAGAATCCCAAGCAGGCTCTTCATTGTCAGCACCAAGCCTGAACGGGGTTTGAAGTCACAAACCATGAGATCATGACCTAACCCGAAAATAAGAGTTGGATAGTTAACTGACTGAACCACTCAGGAGCCCCTCATCCAGTTTAAATTTCTTGATCCAGTTTAAATCAGCCCAGTCAAAATCACTGCGTTCCCTTACTGCTCACACACACACAGTTCTGAAGCCTTTCCATCCTAGTTTTTCTTCCTATCTCCATTTGGAAGAACAAAAAATGACATTAAGATGTTAAGTTCTTATCTCCTCAAAGCAGATGCTGTGAAGTGATTTTTATTATTTTTTTATAAATATCAGTTTGCAATCATGAACTTCTTTAGAGCAAAGAATTAAGAAAAAACTCATAAGCTTACAAAAGGATAAAAATGAATAGGGTATGTTTTGTGATATTTTTCTCATCTAAGTGTTTGATATGGAACCATTGATTGGTGACAGGCATACACAATAAATGTCTCAATGACCTATCTTGTGGGTTTCTGGAAAACTTCTTCTGGATTAAGGCACATACACTTTCTTTGAGAGGAATAATAATAAGCTAATATGTTTAAAGGCCTATTATATAAAGAAACTATAGTAGAGAAATAGCAGGAAAATCAGGAATAAAGATTCACTGCTTTCTAGTTGTCAAGATAAAAACACACCTTACAATTACGGCAAGTCTACATGCCAAGCACCATAATTCGAGGACCACAGAGACACAAAAGTATATATTTTTGATAACCTACATGGTAAACATTTGGGACCTAAACTAGGAAACAAATCCCTGTTTTTCATCTCAGATTTTCGGAATCAAACTCTTGTATCTTTGGCCCAAGGAATCTGTATTTTCATAAGGTAATGTACATTACATTCTTAAGCATCTTATAAAAGATCTTTTCAAACCGAAACAAAATTAAGAATAGTTTCTGAAATAACTCCAGTATATCCATCACGCAGATTCAACAATAAACTCATGACTGGTACTGTGTCATCCATGTACCTCCCCACTTCTTCAGGAAACACCGAGGCTAGCAGATTACAGGTGACGGGTCTGTTCAGGGTTTGGGCTGGGCTGTGTTTACGGACAAGGAATGCCCAGACAGGAATGTTCACCTGAAATCTAAGCAGTAAGTTCATTGGCTTGAGGATCGGGATTCTTGGTGGATGTTTCTTGGTCAGAGATAAGTCTTGGTCTTTTGTGAATCAGGTACTTATGGGAAACCAGTCTCTGAGTTCTTAACTTCCTTTCTTCTAAGGGCATATGCATGAGATTCTCCATTTCACGTCTTCTGGTTCCATTTTAGATTTATATCTTTTCCCAATACTGTAGTAAAGACGAGGAAAAAAATAACTTTTCATCTACTCTCTGCATTCTTGGCTGAGACTCCTGTAACAACTGACAGATTGACACAACAGAAACAAGCAGAGGTTTATTAAGATGTATACCTCATGTGTAATGAGAGATACTCAGGTAAAATGAGTAATACCCAAGGTGGCCTAAATACCCTCTTCAGCTAATGATGAAAGAAAGGTGTCCAGGGGTGCCTGGGTGGCTCAGTCAGTTAAGTGTCCAACTCTTGATTTTGACTCAGGTCATAATCTCATGGTCTGTGAAATTGAGCCCCCCACCCACATCCCCCATGTCAGGCTCTGCGCTGTCAGTACGCCTGCTTGGGATTTTCTCTCTCCCCTTCTCTCTGCCCCTCCCCACCCTCAAAAATAAATAAATAAACTTTTTTTTTTTTTAAAGAAGTTTCACCGTCTAGAAGCTGAATTAATAGATATCTCCCTGAACCAGTCTCTTCTTCCTAAGACTAGATCAGTTCAGGTAAACAGTTGGGTCTCATTTTAGGAAATGGGGATGTAGTTGGGCTCTCAGGTTTATGTGGTGAGGGCAATCAGTTATTTAATAAGAGGTATTTATACGGAGGCAAGAGGGAAAAGAAAAACAAAAGTTAATGATTTGAGTAGACTGTAAAGCCAGTTTGAGTCTGGAGGGCAATCAGTTGAGATTTCTACATATCAGGCTCGAAGCATCTTGTGCAGTTTGAACGTCTCTCGTCATGTCATCAGGTTTCTGGTGAACTTTCTGAGTGGCCCACCCAGCAACAGGCAGGAAGCTTGTCCACACATGAACTGTTGGGGCAATTTCTCTTAAGTTTATGTCGAGTCGCCCAACTTCAGCTTGCAGGGGTTTGGGAAAAGGATGATTTTTGTTCCTAGTTATTCTAGGTCAGAAAGGTAGGAGGCAATCGGAAATGTTAGTCTAGAGAGTTGCAGCCAGATGTTTGAGGAAACTAAAAGAGTCCAGGATTCAGTCCCGCTTACAGATGTGATCAACAAAACCTTTTCAAAACACAGGACTAGAATCTGATCTCCTCAGTGTGAGAGTTTTCCACTGAAACGTAATTTTTCTGTCTACAGTCACCCCTATTTCTATCAATGATAATCACAGTAAGACTGATTTGTTTGCAGAATAAATTCAGTCTCATTAAATTTGGCCTGATTACTGACACAAGCGTGGCAAGAATGGCGATGACCATATATGTGCTTCTTAAGTCTGCTTTGCTGCAACTGTTCATAAGCCGTCTCAGACTGGAGTTTTAAGAATCTCTCAGGGCTAGGGAGCCACGCCAAGGACTTCCGGTGACATTTCACCTATAATACCCATAGAATTGGGTGAATTCCTTCCTTCTCGAGGTCCCCAAAATATCCTGAGGTTCCTGAGCCTGCCAGGGAGTGACTTTCCTTACTCGCATCAAAGGGTGGCATGTGACAGCAAGACACCAGGAGGTTTTTTGAAAGGGCCTTTATTGTCTCGACCTCAGCTCCTTAAAACTGGTCAGCTCTGATTCTATGCACATCGCTCTCAAATAGGATTCTGGTCAGAACGTGGTAACATAGCTACCTTTTCCAAATGTGTCTTCTTACAAGGAAAACAGATTCTTGTGGAGCTTTGGCAAATAGCTATGCTGGCATGAAAATGAGGCTACTCAATTCGTTTCCAGTTTTGCTGATTGCATCTCCACAGTGCTGTTTAACCTGTTCCTCTGGTATTTGAATCTAGAGTTTTGAGCACCTCAGGCTTTTACTTCCTAGGTTATGTGTGTAGCTTTTATCAGTATGACTTGAGTTTGTCTTTTTTGTTTGTTTTGTTTTTTATATTAGGTATTCATAGCTATAACTTAGATCTGTTGTTTTTTTGGAAGCTGGGAATTAATGACAATCTAATGCTATCATTCCTTGTACATTTAATACACGGGATTGAGAAACTTCAATTTTTATTCTGACTTAAGAGTTCATATACACAAGGCAGAATAACTCCATTTTTCCTCTTTATCATTTTTCAAAATAATGACCTAGAATAGATAAAAGATTATATATGTGCAATTTTGCCAGAATTTAACACATTCCTTTTTTAAGGAGTTTCTGCCATCCTGTGTAACCATCAGAATGGTGCAAAGTGTTAGTTAGTGTTTGTTTTGCTGCAGCCTCACCAACGGAGTACTTTGTAAAGCTTTTGAATTTTTGTCAGTCAGATTGGCAATAAATGAAGTGTGGGATTTTTGAATACAGAATTTACAACACATGATTAGATCTAGTGTATCTTGGATATTTCCCTGCAAGAGGTGAGATATGTCCTGGATTTTAAACAGAATGGGATGGAGAGTGCTATTGTTTCTGCAATAGAGTTTGGGAGGAATGTTCAAAGGCAGATGTTAGAAAAAGCTAATAGTAAGAAATGACAAGAGATACGCTTCGCAAACTCTAAAAATCCAAATCCCCCAGGCGCCTCTAAAATCCATTTCCTACTAAATCAACTGTTTTACTTTTTCTTTTTTCCTTGAAAGGAGTATTGTTCCCCTTAGAAAGAAGAAATGCAGGGGAGTGGGTCTTGGGTTTGGGGGTGAAGAGCATTTTTTCTAGGCTATAGAAATAAAGAAGCAGAAGTAAAGAGATTCAGGATAGTTTCTGAACAGCTGCGGGTATGTGGCGCCTCTTTGGACTCAGCCACATGGCTGGTGTTGCAAATGGCTGCTGGGTATAAATAAATGAAGTCCCAGGTTATTATCAATCTCTGGGACCTCCATCTGATAGGGATCTCAGACTAACCTCTTAATCCCCTTTGTTTTTGACATACCCATCTGACTCAAATAGCTGCTGAAGAAACTGTTATGCTGCCTCTAACTTTGAGGCCTTTCTTTAAGGTTACCCAAATGGTCATGTTGAGCATGGGCGTTTTAGGAGATCCTTGGTTCTAATGTTTATTTCTGAGAGAGAAAGAGAGAGATTGTCCAGAGCAGGGGAGGGGCAGAGAGAGAGGAAGAGAGAGAATCTGAAGCAGTTTCCACGCTGTCAGCACAAAGCCCCATATGGGGCTTGAAACCCACGAACTGTGAGATCGTGACCTGAGCCAAAGTCAGATGTTCTACTGACTGAGCCACCCAGGGGCCCCCAGGAGGTCCTTAGTTCTAGATCCCTTCCTTTTACCATTCCCTTCCCCTCCACTAGGAGGGACTGGATACAACAAATCTGCCTAGAATTGTATAAGACAACACTTCTCATTTTTCTTTCTTAATGTTTCTAAATCTGCATCTTCTTCCAACCAAAACAGGATCTTGGATTGGAAATTCTGAGAGTTCCTCTGGAAAACCTGATTACAAAATCTTTTTTCTTCAGCCTGCCAAGGCACACATTTCATGAGCTTTCTAGATAATTGGGCCTGAGAAATAACTTTTTGGCAAAGGGTAAATTGGTCTCAGGCCAATGCTGGGTCTCTAGGAAAGATTGCTTAAAAAGGAAATTCCAAGATAGTTATGATGTGGGACTGGTCAGTGACCAAATAGGCTTGTTTCCCTTTTATCCGCCATTACCGGCATAGAAAAATATGTATTTTTCCACAGATGAAAACATGATTGTGTCATGGTTTACTCCTGTTTTAAGGCTTGAGGCTCAAATTATGGAGGGAGGAAGAAAATCCCATTCCATTTTCGTGAGATGTTGCCCAGCACACTCCATCCTGTGCTTTAAATTCTGATGTGTGAAGCAAACATTCCCAGCCAGATAGCTCCCTAGTTACCACACAGGTGCAGCTGCCGAACACAGCACTGTTGCAACTAGTTTTGACAGCAGCCATTTGTGCTTGAAGAAATGTCTAATTTTTTGCTTCCCTCAGATGGTTTCACACTCCTGTAGCAAGCGGGGGCTTTTATTATAACATTCATTTTGGGTCAGACTACACCCATTTTTGGGAACCCACCAACACAAATGTTAATGATATGCAGATCTGGCCTTTCTTAAGATGGCATAGCATCAGCCAAATTCCATTTCCTGGGGAGGTTGCTAAGACAATTCACAAATCTTGCCAAATTTCATTAATGTGCTGGGTAGACCCGATGTTATGATATGGGTGTTTATCAGGAGCCAAATCTCTGTACATACATATTGATCATCTCCCTTTTGTGTTTTTCCTGACTGCTGATTTCCATAAAAAATAGGAAGTTTAAGGAGTCTCAACAATGTGCATTCCCTTTGAACAATATCTTTCACAATATTTTTATGTGATTCCTCACATGAAAGTCAAATAACTTACCATTCTCAAGAGACCGTCTCATGAATTAACACAGACTCTGGCTCCTCTGTTGGTCATAGGCCTTCTGTTGTTATAGGTCATAAAAGCCACCTCAGTGAAAACTAGATTTGTTTTCAGAAGCTGGCAAACTGGACACTTCCATCTTTATGTCTCACAAGCTGCATACCTGTCCTGCCTGATCACCCACCATTGTTTCGTTGCTTTCTGGAATTCTAAGTTCATCATAATTTGGTAATTATGCAATACTCTCTCATTTCCATGTGTTTGTACATTTTATTTCCTCTGCTCTCATCCATTACAAAACCCAACAGGATGCCCCTTAGCCATAGGGCGTCAGACCAGACGCTGCCTGGTCTGAAGCCCTTCCTATTTCTTTCTGGAAATCTTTTCAGGGTGGAGGGTGGTAGTGTCTCTTTGTCTTTTGCCGTGCTGTCCTCTGTCCCCTCTCTACTACAGAAATGGGGTTATTATGTGGTAACTGTTTGCTTCATGCGTGACTCATGCAATGTAGGTATATATGGCTCTCAGATATGTTTGAATTGGCTCACTAAAAGTAAAGTCTTTCTTTTGGGGCACCTGGATGACTCAGTCGGTGAAGCATCTGACTTCAGCTCAGGTCAAGATCTCATGGTTCTTGAGTTCAAGCCCCGCAGGGACTCTCTGCTGTCAGTGCAGAGCCTGCTTCAGATCCTATATCTCTTCTCTCTCTGTTCCTACCCCAGTCTTTCTCT